AGTCCTGCTCAGCTTCCCAGACTTGACGAGTACAGTACAAGGTGGAGAACACAGCTGTAATTTACTTTGTTTTGCTCATTTATCGCAATACTGAATTTAAAGACTCTTCTTAACATATTAAGAGTTCAAAATGCTTCAGACTCCCTGGAGCAAAACACACATTTACTGTAAGAACCGGTTAGTGATATATTTTAATAAAGACGAATACAACGTACAGTAAAAGGCATTTTTTGACTTTTGGGTTCAAAAGAGACTCTGAAGGTCACAGGATTTTCTTTCTTAGATGATACACACAACAGGCTTTAAATCCTTAAATGAAAAATTGTGTTTTTTCTCCCGCAAAGTCCTTGATAAATCACTGTGCTACCTACTGCGGGAGTCTTACAGCCCCTCAGGCCATTTAGCAGGAGGGACCTCTTTCACACATTTGCTCTCCAGGCAGTGCATTTCAAACCAACTCAGAGAGATTACCACCTTCTGTTCCTCATTATTGAAATGGCCTCTTATCTTGCATTCTCCTGTCCTATTAGGACGCTGGAAAAACTGCTGTTTCACAGTTCAAGGTTACTGCATTCCTTCCTCCACTGCTTGAAAGGTCCTAAGTGAAACCATATTTAGGAGAAATTCCCCCCTGTAAAGGAGAAAGAGGGGAGGAGAGTGAATAGCTGAGTCAAGGCTCTGCATCGCAGCCTTCTGGTGTGGTGGTTGGAATTTTTCCTCTTGGGTTGTAATGTACAATGTGGCAGTTCAAACATCAGCGAGTTCTTGTAATCTGGGAGCAGGGATTGTTCCCTTGAGACTGGCTGAAGGCAAAGGAGAGAAAACGAATAGATTTATGAATTCCTGGGCAACTGTAGGCTAATAACCAGAATGAGATAAAGTTTCACACAAATTTTTATGTTTGAAAGTCCATTAAAAGCAGAATTTGTGCAGAATCATAATGTAGTTAACACTGGTTCTACGATATGTGCCTTGGGGTATGTCACATCTGATGCAGGAAGTTAGTGGCTTCTGTTACAGATGGGGACAATAAAACACTCTGCATTTGCAACCACTGAAATGTTTTCCATTATTTTTACAAGCATTCAAATTTTCTTATGTGTAAAGACATGTACTGTATAATAAGATGCGATGAAAGGAAATGTGAAATTGAACGTGGAAGTAATTCAGCATGCATTTTGCAGAGGAAAAGAAAGATTTGCGCATGCATTTAGTTAAAAGTGTGTGCAAATCTTTGTTTTGGCCTTTGTCCATAGCCATATACTGTACTCTAGTCTAAAGGTGGATGGGATAAAGTCTAAGATGACTTTACATACAGAAACAACTAGTTTGACCTGCATGGGAAATAAATGCATATTTATTTTTTTAATAATAAATTGCCTTTAAAATGTTCAACCATGAAAATATGTTCTAATGTTCAGATAACATAACAAGAAAATCCTCATTGTTGGTTCCTAACATGGGGGGTCATGTTGGAATCTGTGGATCTAGAACAGTAGATGTGAAACATATATATATATAATTCTATATATGTTTATGTTTATGAGTCATAGCAATCAATGCTTCAGCCACATTGCCTAAGAAATGAGAGGACATGAGAAATGAGAGGAGGGCATTCTGTTTGTCTAGCTCATTAGGTTTGTAACACTTAATTGATCCAAGCATATCATCGAGCTGTTTCCTGAAAGTATCATACCAACAACATGGCTGTGTAGCTATCACCCCATTCATATCCTTGTGTCAGCCATCAAGGGGTGATGTTTCAACTCCACAGAGTGTTATTTTTCTTTAAGCTGTCGAAACGTATATTTCACCTCCTACCACTTGCAGTAGGACTTGCAATAGTTTCAAGAAATGTAGCTTTTGATAAGGGAATTGTGCTTCATGACAATGAAAGACTTACTGATGCGGGCCTTCGCAAAACTCTTATGGTCATTACGATTGTAGCAAAGGGTAAAATGTGCTCACAGAAAGCAAACTCCCAAAAGATACGTGTGATGTGCACCTTATGGGTACAAAAAAGTGGAATCGTAAATCCAGACGGGCCAAAGAAGAATGCAGTGGACATTTGGATATTGATATGGAAGACAAATCTGGATGCTGATATGACCAAAACAACGAAGCTTACAGCTAATTTGGCATTTCTCGTGAGACTGAAGTGCAGCGCAGAGTTGACACAAACATACACACACTCACACCAATTCGACCTACCAGTATGGGTCTGGACTACGAAGCACCCAGAAAAAAAACCACTCCAGCACAGGGAGAACATACAGTACAAACCCCACGCAGACAGCACCCCAGGAATTGAACCCAGGGCCCCAGTGCTGCAAGGCTAATTCATACTCTGCACCACCATGCTGCCCTGCAACCATGTGGTGTACGTATTAATTAGAAATATACCGTAATAAAGCTTAAATAAACTAAATGTTCAGAAATGTTGGCCATGAACAGCTAAGTTTATTGACAGAAAACAAAATGGCAGTATTTTTATGGCCAGAAATCAAATCAAATAAAACCTTTTCATTAACAAATGGCTGGACCCCTAATAGTACTGTATATTTTGCAAATAACACTTAAAATCTTAAAGTAGCAATACCGAAATACAAATAACAGAAAAAATACATCCATATAAGGAAATCCCTTTGACAGTATTGATGTCAGAATCCGTCTCTTGCTTGCAATGACAGTGATGTGGCATACAGTATGTTTGAAGTACAGAACCCAGACATCAGTGTCTGATGACACTATATTAGAGTCATCAGGGCTCTTGGTTAAGATTAACAGGGCTGTCTTTTGGTGCTTTGCATGTAAAATATCAAAAATTCTTCCTGTTGGAAAACAGATCAAAGACATTAAATTGTGATTTACTGCATGTACTCCTAAAAGACACTTGTGTAGCTCCTAAAACATTTTATCTGAAATACTTTAGTTGCATTTAGTTGCAGCTGTAACTTACATCTTTCATTTAACAGACTTTTAAGGAGCATTTTAGAATGTGTGGTTATTTTTTTTAAACAAAACTTTGCATTAGCTAGCTCATTTGTCATTTTGAAATGTTTATGAGCATGTAAAAAATGCTACATGGCATCAATACACATGCCTACCATCTGATGTAAACACTGTCTGTTCAGACACAATTGAATCCACATTTCAGAGAATCATATCTTAGCACCATCTGACACTGGGTATTGACAATGATTCTGTAAACCAGTCATTTGCACTGAAACCCACATACATTTCAGCAACAAAAGGAATTGCTTTCATGCAACACTTTTCATCCCAAAGAATCCCCATGTCCCAACAACAACAAAAAAAAACCTTTAAAAAATATTTTACCCTGTGAAAGCAATTATTATTATCATTATGTCTATGCTGAATTCAAATGAAAATAAACCAATACAGCATATACAGTTTATAATACAGTGTGCTAAAGGCTGTACCATTTTACCAGATGACAATGCTATATCTATCAATCCTTATGCTTCCTGCAGTGGTTTCTGGGAAATACAAGTGACATCATATAAATTCCAGGTTGTGCCCATGCCAGCAAAGTTGCTATGGCAACTCTCTCCTGACCGCCAGTAAGAGACAGAGGCTTATACAGCTGATTAGCCATCTAGCAGTACATGAACAGAACTTCATACTCTCTTCATGAAGGCAAGGGTGAGTGTCCTGCAAATTTTAGGAACTCAAGCAATTCCACCTCTTCATTTAAATTGCATATATCAGACACTACTGATACCAAACACATGTGAGGATTATCACTATGTATGTAGTGCCAATTGACTGGATTTAAGGGTATCTCTTTAAATATTACATTTCAAAGCACAATATTTTCATATTGTTTAGATGTATCTGGAAAGATTGTACTGTATGTAGATGACTATGGAGCCCTGAAGACAATGGATTCATAGCTAGTTATGAGCTTTATGAATCTAGCCAATTATGAATTACGAGCTTTAGTTGTGCTTTATTTTAACACGATAAACATTGACGATCACAGAAACTGATTTTATGGACCTGTATTCCATGTCATTGTGAGGTTTTGCTCCAGCTTAAGGGAATGTAAAACAAAATTACAGGAGGTGGTCGAATCCTAACCTCCCCCTCTTCTGCCTGCCTATGTACAAACACTGTGCTTCTTGCCGACTCCTTGGTGTGTTTCGTTTTCTCCCTGGCCCTCCCTCCACCCCTCTCTCAGCCCTACAGCAGCTCCCTGCCTCACCCTTCTTTAAAGAGGGAGTTCTGACAGCCAGGCTACTGTTCTTCTCAACCTAGCTGTCCCAATCGCTCACCCATGTTAATTGGGGTTTGATGGAACTACAGGAGCTGTCATTGCAGTATCAAAGGGATCTGTAGGACATGGGCTAATTAAGCAAATACAGATCAATTCTGCTCAGTATTTGAAGGTCAGCAGAATTCTGAGGTTTGATGGCAAAGAATCCCAGTGCCATGGTGGGACATCTGTGATCTGGAGCACTGTGGTTAGTGCTCTGGACTTGTAACTGGAAGGTTGTAGGTTCTGATTCCTGATGAGACCCTGCTGTTGGACCCTGGAGCAAAGTGCTACTAATATTACTACTATTCATAAAGTGCTTTACAGTAAATGGGGACTCTCTTTCAAAACTACCAATGTATAGCCCCACCTGGGTGATGTGACAGCAGCCATAGTGCCAGTCGCTCACCACACACCGGCTCTCAGTGGGGAGGAGAGCAGAGTGTAAATTCATAGATGGGGATTATTAGGAGGACCTAATTGGTAAAGGCCAGAGGGATTACACCCCTACTCTTCTTCAGGAACGCCCTGGGATTTTTAATGACCACAGAAAGTCAGAACTTTGGTTTAAGTCTCATCCGAAGGATGGCACTGTCACTATACAGGAGCATTAGGACCCAAATGGACCGCAGGGTGAGCGCCCCCTGCTGGTCCGACTTACACCTCTTCCAGCAGCAACCTTACTTTTTCCCAGGAGGTCTCCCATCCAGGTACTGACCAGGCTCACGCCTGCTGAGCTTCAGTGGGGCTGCCGGTTCAGTGGGCTGCCAGGGCGATACGCAGTAGCTGCTTTAATATCCCACTGAAATAAAAAGTGAGAGCAAATGTAAGTCTCAGTGAATGAAAGTGTGGGCCAAATAAATGAGTTAGTAGCCTTCATCATCGGACTGCGGGTTTTTGTCACCTTCAGTGATGACAACAAGTTCCAAGTGGCAGGGCAGGAGGAAAAGTTAGGACATCCACAATCTCCTCAAGAGGGAATGTGTGAGGCAGCTATGATTAAATATAAAACGTACATACAGTATTTACCTGTCCCCTATATTAAATGTAACATATGTACTGTATATACAGTACGTACATGTGCATGTCATTCCCTCTGTTTCATCTACAGCCTTATTCAAGTAAAAGCTTCAATTTGTAATCTTTCCATTTTCTTTTTATTTCTAGCATACCTATGCTAGGTATTTGAAAAAAAGAAGAGAGAAAAAACACAACGTTTTGGCTGTGGAGCCTTCTTCAGGTAAGAGAGAGACAAGGCAGCAGGCAAAGGTAATGTAGTGGGAGAACTCACTCAGCATGGAATAAACCTATTACTTGTTCCTTTAAAATACTATGTATGATTGGATTCAATCTGGTATTCATTCCCAGCGCTGCCTTTGTGCTCTGTCATGGGCCCTGAGGCTCACTTTGCAGGTATTCTTATCTCACAAATGCTATTCAAACTCATTATCATTGACAATCTCTGTAAAAGCTCTGTAAAGTCCAGGGTTGGTATCTGTCACCAGGGTCATCTGAATGCAGTACAGGAGCTCTTCTGCGTCCACCATCCTGGGTCTAATGATCCAGGCAGTGGGACAATAAAAGGATGAGAAAGTGTGTTAGTCTGCGATGGACTGGCATCCGTACTGGGTGTACCCCATTTTGTGCCCGTTGGCTGCCCTGCAACCCTGAATTGGATGAGGCAGTTAGAAAATTGATGGATGGAAGTGCGTTAGTGTAACTGGATGGATGATCGAGGTTGAATGTGAAAAAGAACAACTGATTGCAGTGAACATTTACAGGCAGCGCTGCTTCTCAGTCATTAACAAATACGATCCATCTGCTCTGGCACTGTCCCTGTTCCAGTTTATTTACCCAGAGAGGAGGACATGAGAGTGATGACAGAGTTCTTCCATCCAAAACCAAATCAAAGACATTTGAAGGCAGAGAAGGGGAGGTGCTGACTGAAACAGTGAAGGGACACAGACAGAGTTAGACAAAAACCAGAATAAAACTTGATCTCCATCGTATAATAAAATTTCAGCATTTCAACACAGGCTTTTCAGATGAAGCTGGTTTAAGTTAATGAAATTTGCCATTTTCAAGTTCCTTTTCTGTCAATGATGTTTTAAAAATGGAAAAATAAGGATGTTGTTATTTATGGCTAACAGCTAAATCACTTGCAGCTCACAACTGGAAACCCACTGAAGCTCAGCAGCTGTGAACCTGGCCAGTACCTGGATAGGAGACTTCCTGGGAGGCTAGGAGGAAGAGGTGTTAGTGGGGCCAGTAGTGGGCCTAATGCCCCAGTATAGAGATAGGGGCAGTATACTGTAAACAGGCTCTGTTCTTTGGATGAGAACTAAAACCGACTCTCTATGGTCATTAAAAATCCAAGGGTGTTTCTCAAAAAGAGTTACCTCGGTGTCCTGGCCAAATTTCCCCCAGGCCTTTTCCATTCATGGCCTCTTAATGTTCCCCATCTCTGAACTGGCTTCATCACTCTGCTCTCCTCCCCACTGAGAGCTGGTGTGTGATGAGGGGACTGGAGTCCAGTCTGTATTACCTGTAACGTGTTTTGAGTGCAGAGTCCAGATTCTTATTCTTTATCTGTTCAGGTGGAAAGATTCAGGTGGGTAGCTGCGTCAGCATACGTACGCTGCAAAGGAAGAAGTAAAGGCTTATTCCATACTGAAAAGAGAAGAGAGGAAACACAACGTTTCAGCTCTGGAGCCTGTTTTCTTTCTTCTCTTTTCAGCATGGAATAAGCCTGTTACTTGTTCCATCTTAGCTTTTGGACTACTTACCAGTGTGTTATTGGGGTAAATTGTCTTAAGAGTTTTATTCAGTTTGTCACTGAATGTTTTACACTGAAATTAAGTTTCAGATAATAAAAAATAATATTTTTTAAATGTAAAATTTACATATGTGGCCTTAAGATGCACAGTACCTGCCTCTCAGTAAAGGATACTACTGGGCCTAACTCAAAGTTCTTCTCATCGTGACATACTGAACCTCAACAGTGCTGTAATGTACACCTGCTGTCATTAGTCATGGCTTATCAAATACTTTACTGTGTTTACTCTCACCGTATTTCTTAAAGAATGTACAGAATGGTCATTAAAAATCCAAGGGTGTTTCTCAAAAAGAGTTACCTCGGTGTCCTGTACAGTATATGTTTACCCAGGTGTCTCCCATTTTCACAAAGTAAAAAGCCAAACACACATTAATAGTGTCTTTTCTTGTTTATAAATTGTCACTCGCAAAGACAATTATTCATTCTAGTGTCCAATATTTCTTTCTTTCATGAGTGTTCTTAGAGATGTGATAACTCTACTCCATGTAGCATTCAGATGATCAGAACCTTGTGTAATGGAAAATCAGATACAGATACAAAAAAAGATCCCACTTACAATCAAATAAGAAACAGAGTAGATGGAACGTTAGTGTACATTGTAGCCTTTTCAATATGAACAAATATAAACATTCACCGGTCTAAAGATTAGCCTACAGAAGTCCCTTGCAGAGTGTTGAAAACTGGGGAGATCCTGGGATATAACACATCCCTTCCCTCTTCAGAAATGCATGGTCAGAAAGTACAATCAAGAGGAAAGTGATATGTCATGTCATTGGCCAAACCGCTTTATCCCATACGGTGTTGTGGGAAGCTGGAGCCTACCCGCCCAGCTGCGAGCGCAAGGCAGGGTACACACTGGTGGTGGTGGAGGGGATCCCCATTACCTGTAAAGCACTTTGAGTGGAGTGTCCAGAAAAGCGCTATATAAGTGTAAGCAATTATTATTATTATTATTATTATTATTATTATTATTATTACATCCTGGACGGGGCGCCAGTCCATCGCAGGGCCAGTGCAAGTCAGTCAAACATGGGGATGAAAGTGATATGTAATAGCCCCAAATTTCTTTATGATCCAAGTTGTCTCACATAAACTGAAACAAATGATAGCAAAGAGTTTTTTTGAACACCCTTAACACCTTTGCCGGTTCATATCCCGCGGCCGGCAGAGGAATCCTACTCCATTAGGGCCCCTGAGCAAGGCCCTTAACCCCAGCTGCTCCAGGGGTGCTGTATTAATGGCTGACCCTGCTCTCTGACCCCCAGCTTCTCTCCCTGTCTGTGTGTCCCATGGAGAGTAAGCTGGAGTTTGCGAAAAGACAAATTCCTAATAAAAGAAATCGTATATGGCCAATAAAGTGATCTTTTCTTATAACTCATACACAATTTTGCCTCAGACATGAGTGAAGGGCACGAGTGAAATTATAAACAGACTAGGACACTGAGAGGCAAATTAGTTTTTTTTCAGGTTGCTAAAGTACATAAGACCATAAAAAAGGTTACAGATGAGAGGAAGGTATTCAGGCCACGTAGCCCGTTTGGTAGAAGAAAAGAAATGTTACAACTGAGATAAGACCTCATACGGTAAATGTTTGAAAGTTATAGTAGGTTTATGAGTATCTCATTCAGCTATTTCTTGAAAGGAGCAAAGGACCCAGCTTCAGCAATATGGCCAGGCAGTTTGCTCCACACTCCCACAATCCTTGGTGTACCGTCTTGTTCTCTGTTTTAAATGCACTTCCACATAATTTCTACTTGTGTTCTCTGGTTCGTTTTTAAAAAGTGTTCTTCATACTGAGGCATCCTAGAAAACTGCAGAGTTTAAATCAGCACCCTTTAGCTACAAGCTAGTTACATACAGTACAAACACATTCGAAAAGGTACGTTTTCAATTTGTACCTCAAGGAATCTAGGTTTAGCATTACTGACGTCAACTGGAATGGGGTTTCATGGACAGGGAGCAAAACAGCTGAAACCACTGGGCCGGGCTCCTTTAAGAAACTCAGGGAACAGGACACGCAGCAAGATAAGAGTATAAAAAATGCAGCTGGCCCAAATGTACTCCTGTAAATTTCTGGAGGTCGTCAGTACAGTATTTGAACCAACTAATTCAATGATGGAGCAGAAGACGTCCTATTTTTGCAGCACAAAACCGGCAAAGCCGTAAGCTCATTGCATGCACAGTGACTGTTCTCTGTCTCCCATGCTCTGCGCTTGGCTTTATGAGCTGTTCTGTGGTGTGGCAGGAGTAGTTCTGCGTGTGGTAAAATGGGTGGCCAGACTACAGCGGCCTGGAAGCCACAGGCCTCCCCACACTTATCCCTGTCATACTCGATAAGTAGAGGAAATGGGAAGGGAATTGCTCTGCAGCTTTCATGTGGTAAAAGTCTCTTGTCAGCACTTCCTTGATTTTTCAGCTGCTCCTCTGCAGCAGATCGTTTCTCAGTATGGTTCCCATTTGCAAGGTAAAAGCTCCAGCATGCAGTGGAAGAAAAAGCCGTAGGGGGGCTGGATGGCGGATGAGCGCTTGTTCTGAAGGGCAGTGGGCACAGACGGCCATTTTCAAGCCCAACGTGCGGCTGCCATCTGGCTGGAGGAAAGGGCGAGTCCACTACCCAGTTCCGGGGGTCTCCATCAGCTCGGTGAAACACACAGTCTTTGCTACTCGGAATCCACTTCGCTATGGGCTGAAACAATGGCTGTTTGTAAGAGGACTCAGCAGAGCTGAACCTGTCCCAGGAGGTGATGTCACACACCTGGAACCTGGGCGCAAGAGCAGCTGGGATCATCCTATATTGCATAGTCCCTGGGTAGAAATACCCAGTCCCTACAGAAGTCTTAATTTGCTCAATTTGTTTTAATAAAATGACTTGAATGCAAGAATGCTCAAAAGGTCATTATAATATATACTTCACAGATTTCTTTATAGCACTTGAGGTATAATTTATTACCCTTAATCTCTGACTGGCTGGCATCAATTAGCACAGTCACTACGGCTTAATTCTTATTTTAGATAAGTCTTTATTTGGCTATCGATGACTGCAGTGCATTGGTTCAAGTCCCTTCAAATAGATACAGTGTTCACCAAAGGTATTAATAAAATATTTTGTTAATAGTTACAAGCTGGGCTCCCTTGATAACTGTTATGCAAGAAAACTCCCACAGATTTCTTTTCAAGCAGGCTCCCATGAAGAGGCTGGAAAAAGTTACTGGTTTTGCTCTGGGGAGCTCAAAAGAAAAAAAAAACTGGCTGAGGAAAAAAAAGGCCTACCTCGAAATCTTGAAGACACCATAATGTTTTGCTTAGAAACAATGAAAAATAAATTTCAATTATTTGAAAGACCAGCATCTGTTATCCATTTGAGAAGCAAGAAAGAAAATATTACAGGTTAAACTTACAAATGCCTTGAAAATATAAAAAAGTACACATTTGTAGAAAATCTGAGCACCCTTCAAGGAGTCATCTCCTTAAAACGTGACTTTTTGCAAATATGGTACGATAAACGTTTGCTTAGCATTTTGCTGAAACGCTGAACTGAATAACTCAGCTGAGGGGGGGCATCGTCTTTCGAAAGTACGGTATAAAGTGGCACGAAACACTTGCGTGAGATTTTAAAATCTTGACGTACGCTGTACATGGATGTATAAAAAATAAAAAAGCTCATTATTGCTCTGCCGCTTTCTTCGGATCACAATCGGCATCAGATCGGAAAAAAAAACCCAATCGTACTACCTGCTGCCAGAACCCCGGGGTCCCGGCAGTCCCTAAACGTGGTCCAACCGTGTTTGGAGACGGGGGGTTCACTTGTGAAACTCGGCGAAGCAGCCCCCGCGGCACAGGTGCACGTTGCAGATCTTGCAGCCGAAGACGCTCTCGTGCCGCAGGCCCTTGTTGGTGCAGTTGCGGCAGCGGCGCGAGCGCTCGGACATGCGCTCCAGGCGGTGCCCGTACTCCACCGGCGAGTCGGCGTGCCTCTTGCGGGAGGCGCGCTCCACGCCCCGGGCGCCCTGGTAGTCGCCGATGAGCTGCCGCGCCAGCCGGACGCGGAAGTGGCGCTGGGTGAACTGCTTGCCGCCGAAGCCCGGGGGCGGGGCCCCGCCGCGGCTCTCCCGCAGGACGATGAAGGCGTCGACGATGCAGATGTTGAGGTAGAACCACAGGAAGTAGCGCCACCACTTCTTGCAGGGCCGGCCCACCTGGTAGCACTCGCGCAGCTGGTCGCACAGGTCCACGCCCCGCATGTGCTCCTGGTACAGCAGCAGGGGCAGGGGCCGGGGCACGCCGGCCGCCGCGCCGTCCCTCTGCTTGCCCTGGCTGATCCCCACGATCCCGGGCGCCGCGTTCGAGGACAGGCAGCTGACCACCTTGGTGTCCCGCAGCACGGTGGCCAGGAGGTTGCCGTGCTGGCACTGGAAGAACTCGCCCGGCGCCAGCCGGCCCACGTTCTTCAGCTTCAGGGCGTCCGGGAAGCCCTGGCGGCTCTGCTGCGTGGTGCCGCAGACGTACAGCCCCTGCTCCAGCAGCCGCTGCGCCAGGGGGACGGAGGTGAAGAAGCTGTCGGAGAAGATGTGGTGGTGCTTGCCCTCCAGCCCCCGAACCAGCGACGTCACCACCCGAAAGCCCGTGCCGCCGGCGTCCTCGCTGGCTCGCCCCACGTGGATGTCAGCGCGGTGGCAGTAGCCAGACTTGGAATCGCACAGCATCCAGACTTTGAGGCCCCTTTTAATGGGCTTGGAGGGCATGTACTGCGTGGCAGAGAAGCGCCCCTTCACGGCAATCGCCCCTTCGTCCACTGTGAGGCACCTGTTCGGGGCGTAGGCCTCCCACATCTTGGCCTGCACCACCTCCAGCAGGGGCCGGATCTTGTAGAGCCCGTCGTAGCCCGGCTGCCCGCGGGCCGGCTCAGCCTCCCGGTCGCACAGGTGAATGTTCTGGTTCAGCTTCTCGAAGCGGCGGGCTGTCATGGTCTTCTTGAAGCCCGCGTTGCCGATGAAGATGTCAGTGGCCCAGTACATGCCGTAATCTGGCAGCTGGTTGATGCCCATCAAGACATTGAGGCCGATGTAAGCCTGCATCTCCCTCAGATCAGTGGGGCGCCAGTGTGGGTCCGCTTTCCCGCTCCTCCGCTGTCTGTAGATGGCGTACTTGTTTGTTTGCTCCACCATGTGCTCGAACAGGGAGTCGGGGAACAGCAGCCGGAAATAGTCACGGGCGTCTGCTTCAGCTCCCAGCGTGTGCTGCGGGCCGGAGCTGGCAGTGAACTCCTCTACCGTGATGGGTTGGTCAGGCTCCCCCCAGAAGCTCGGCGAGGTGCAGTCTTCGTCTAGCTCCGCGATGGCACCGCTGAGGTCCGCCGGCTCCTCTTCCAGATCGGAGAAATCAATATCCGAGTCGTTGGCTGTGTTTTCCGGGCAGCCGCTGGCGTCATAGGCGTCGTCCGAGTCCTCCTGCTTGATCTCACTGTCGGTGGCTAAAATGACTTTGCAGCTGCCGGCTGATACGCGGGTAGCTATGTCCGCAGCTGCTGCCGCCGTCTCGCTTTCGAAACCCTCCTCTCCGTCCTCCCCTTCTTCGTCCTCTGCCCCTTCTTCTCCCTCCCGGTCGGGCTTTCTGAAAGGGATTTCTAGCCACTTGACGTCTGCGGACAGGTTAAGGGGGAATGAGGCTGCGTCGCAGACCGTGTCCTTGTCTGTTTCGGCGCTGGTCTCTAAAACGGTAAAAAGATCTCCCCTCTTTCTTGTCGCCATGTCGGGGCTTTGCAGCCTCCTTGCATGGGTCTTTTGGCGCGGGGATATTTCCAGACCCAGCCGCAAAACATAACAACGGAAAGAGGAATGACTTTCTTTTCGTTACGGAGAGCTGGGCACTTTTCTTCCCCTGGTCTGCCCGGCTCGAAACTCCTTGTTTCCGATGGAGGTCGAGTTTTCTCGGATGCGCAGTGTGGCCAGAGACGTCAGAAGCTGTGTGCACGTCCTGCTTTGTAGGCGCTCCTGCTGCTGAACGGTATTGTACAGTACTGTATGTACAGCACGGGGGGCGCTTCGTCAGGCTGTCAGACTGCTGCTATGCAAGGTGTAATGATACCTGACGCCGTGAAACCAGGTCTGCGGGGGGGGACGGAGACCAAAGCCAACACATTTTTTTTTTATTAACAATTAATAGTAGAAGCAGCAGCAGCCGCAGCGGCGGTTTAGCCCTGAGGTGTATGAGATCACGGAGGGTGGCTGGGTTGTAGTCGCCTCTCTAAAACAGACCGGAGACGCAGACCGCAGTGAGAAGATTTGAGATCTCGGGGTTTCCTTGATGTAAAACATGAATGGGAAAGCAGGTTTGAAAAAGTACGCGCACGCATCCAGGGACGTGCGGTGCTTTTTGTGGACCCTGCATGAAAACTGTTGGTCAAGTCTGCAAGTTGCTCCTTTTCAAACCAGAACAGAAATAGTTCAAATTAGCAGTTTTTGAGCATCGATATGCTCTTTAAGCTTCGGCGCTTTCGGCGAGTAACACCTAAAAAGGGTACACCTATACTGTATACATAATATCCGTCGCGTCTCGCAACCCTCAAGTATCAGAAAATGAAAAATGGACAGACTGAGGAATACTCTGGTGATTTCTGTTTTTACTTGGTACTTTAAATTGGTACTAGTTCCCAGTCTGCGATATTGGACCTAAGGTGGATGAGAAATGCAGAATCAGCGTGATCTCTCAAACTGAAACTCATTTATTGTGTTTTTTTTTGCAAACATAGAATCCTCTTCCTGATGATCTGCGGCTTAACCCTATTCTAAAGTTAAACAATTATAGTTGTGTCGGTTTATTGACGTTGGTTTTGGTAGGATATCGTTGCATTTCTTCTGTACAATGCAATACTGATGAATGAACACTGTCCGACAGTTAAAATACGCAATATTAAAAACACACTTCCGATTCTCTCCTTTAAACACGTTTTGACATGTGGTCCTTCAATCAATCAAAGAAAGAACGTTTCATGCGTGTAAAACGAAATCCCCTACGTTTTCTTGCAATTCCAATTATATTATCTCAGAATCAGTAGTGACTGGCATAGCTACAGTACTTCTGACAATATGAACAGTAGTTTAGGATAGACGTATATGAATCATGACGGTTCAATGTATTTAGTTCCTGTAGTAACAGAAATCAATCCGCTCAGGTGCCGCTCACGTTTTCTTACCAAGCATATTGAAACACATCTGTTGAAAACCAAGAAACAAAAAGGGAATAAATCCTAATCCTTTACCCTCCCACCTTTTCCCCCGTTTTTTCTGCTGTCTGACAAGTTAAAATGTGTCGAGTTCGCTTAGAAATAACCTGAGTCAGAAAATCTTTTAGAGTTGCCTGTGCTGGCAAACACATAGAGTATATTATTTCAAAAAGCTTTAAGGTGTCTGCTCCAGGCTTCATGTCTGTCCATTAGAAATGAGATAATGAGATAATGCTGAAAACAGAAGAAACAGTTCAAATAATCATCATCAAACTACAGGGACGTGAAGGGACATGTGAGCAAAGGTGGGCTTACGTAAGAGCCGTGTGATTTCGGTCCTTTCCAACACAGGAGGAGAACAGCCCGACAGTATAAAGGAAGGAGGAAAGAGGAAACGGAGAAGGGGATCAAGGGTACCAGTCCAAAAAAAGTTCGAAGGTGTCCTGACTACGAGTCATGAGGGGAACCAGCTCAGGATTGAGCTGGATTGTGTCTGCTAAGCAAATAAGTAATAATAGTGACTCTTGAGCAAGGGCATGTCTGCGCCAGAGATCGGATCTCGTGAAGCTATGTCAGGCTTTCCCGATATAAATAGAAAAGTAATACCTTTATGATCATTTCTGCTCCACAGCTGTCGCACCCGCTGCTGGTCGGAGCCCTCCACACCAACGGTCTCGCCCTAACCCAGCACCGGCTGGAGGCAGGCCCCGCAAAATGGCCCAGATCAGACCCACGAACCACTCCGGATAGCTCACTGGTTACAGCACCCTCCACATCCAGACATACAGTACTTAAACCCTCTCCCACTCTCATCTCACTGCTCGGTATTGGTAGCTCCTTAGGAACGCCTTGCCTTGCACTTCCTCTCTTGCTCTCCCTAATATTACGAGTGGCCTTGAATTCGGAACCTGTCCTCGACTTCGTCTCTCGTCTAGCGGTTTGGCTTTGATAGTGCTGGTTACTTTCCCGGTTCACATCTTTTCTGACCTGCGTCCAGAACTCCATCTAGGGACCATTAACTGCACCAGCACTGCGTGCCTTACAATACCTAAAGGTTCCTACTGTACGACAGTCGTTTTGAGATCCATTTTGGATTGCACACAATCCTAGAGCTGGGGTCTCCTGTCCTGGTCCCGGAGGGCTGGAGTGTCTGCAGGTTTTCAGTCTAGCTGGGCTCTTAACAATCTGAATCCTCTCCTACTTGTTGGCTTAATTTGACCTGTTAAACAGCTTCTCCCAGCTCTCTAGGAACTGGGGCTTGAAAGAGACACAGAAAACCTGCAGACATACTGGTATCCAGGGGCAGAATTGGGGATCCCTGTTCTAAGAGCAATTACTCAAGTAGAATGTAGCCTAAATTGTCCGCCTTATGTGATAGGTATTGACAATAGGACGGATCAATTCTTGCTCCTGAGACACAATGAACACCAATATCAGAATGTATGAGGTCAAAGTTATTTTACATTTTATGTCCTGTTTTTTTATTTTTCATATTTTAATACACATTTGTGGGAGTATGGATCAACCTACTGTGGACATTCCCCACTTGTGGTATTGTCTGTCTGCTGGAAGTAACAGACCAGGGTGTTTCCTGGCTTTAATGAACATATAAACACAAAACAATAAAATCAAACTCACCTGTTAGCTAACTAGACAATTTATCTGCCTTACTGGAAAAGCTAGCTGCCTATCCACTGTGAAACGTTTAGTAACAGGTTATAGTTCTGTACACTGTATATAGAACAACTAGTGCATTTTATGCAGATGTACTGTAAGATTCTGAACACAATCACTTATGTTATACATTTCAGAAAAACATTATCCGGCAAGCAGTTACAGTATGGCAATGCCTTGCATTCTAATTGTTATCAATCAATACTGTAAGGTATTCGGTACAGTACACATAAAAATGTGGTGTGTGACATTTCGTTTTATTCTCCTATTAAACATTTTCGGTCAAGTTTCAGAAACTCGGCCTTTAATTTCTTATTGTGTTGTTAAACTCAACAGTGCTAATCCAATAAGTGGGCTATCAGTGCTTACATGTGCTGTCTGATACATACTGTAATATAACCCGGGAACGAACTCTTCTCCATCTCTAAACCAGCTCTAAGGGCTCGAGGGCATGAGAGGATGTTAGTGGAAAACCCTCCAAATGTGTGTTTAGTAAGTAATAACTCAGAAAATAAAAGGGACAATGAGAATTTTACCATGGAGTGCTGAGTTAATCCAAGAGCTTCCACAACCGATTAGCGAACCAGCGGAGTGACCTGAACCACGCATACAGCAAAACTCTGTAATGGGGCCAGAAATGGGGCTTTATTGGAAGAGATGATTGGAAATAACAACTGAACTCTTCAGGCTTTGAAAACGTGCAAGCTCTACAAGCCCTGGTACTGTAAACAAGTATCACCTGTGTGCATGCTTGCTATTTACAGTTTTTATGTTGTAATGGTTTCTATGAAACAATCATTTTTGTGGTCCAGGAAAATAAAAACTTGCATGCCATAGCATGCATGCACGCCAAACTTAGACTTGAAACCATGTCCCCCAGACCTGGCTGTTCAGGCTACTAGAAAGGACAGCTCTTTGGTACTTCTACTGTCCTGAAGGGGTCACTCTCAGCTCTGTCAAACCAGTCTTACCAAAGCATGCCACATGATGTTTGTTTAATGTATTGCTTACCTCTGCTTGAATTAGAGCCTTTGTTGACTGAATGATGTTGTGCCGGTTGTCCCTATAATCATTTAATCATTTTCATTGTGTTCTCAGATTTGCAGATATAATGTATGTCTTATCATTGGATGACAAAGTCCCAATCTTCATTTACTGTTTTCAATACAAGTTAAGGACTGCAGTGGCAAATTTATGTATGTGTGTATTCTATGAGGTAAGGAGAGCTGTGAGAGTGAATGTAGGGGCTTTGTTTAAAGCCAGCTATTACAGCGAAAATTAGACACACCTGGCTTAATTGAATGAATGAAATTCCACAGGTGTAAAAGAGCATATATTATTTGCTCTGTTGGTAATTGGTCATTTGTATACAGTGTATTAGCTGCCAGGAGGAGAAGGGCTAGAGGCTGTGTCGAGGTTCCTGCAGGAGAGCTCAGAAATTAATGTAGTGAGTCTAGATAAAACAGATCTTTTTGGCTCCCATGCAGTAGCAGCCAGGTTTGCAGTCTGTGTCAGAGAGAGTCGAGTAGGAGTCAGAGTTTGAATGAAGAACTTGCAAGGACTGAGTTTTAAGGATCGGTGATGATCATTGAAAGAATGATCTGATCAGTGTGATCACTTTGTCAGACTATTCCAGTATTTAGTTTGAGGCTGCAGTGTCTCATTAGAGAAGGTGATTAGTGCTGATTTAAAGTATAGTGGGAAGACTGGGCATGTTTGTGTTTCATAGAATGTAGTGATGTGAGGAGGGATTTACCTACTCTGACCTTCCAGAGACTGAAGAAGGAAGTGGTGCTCTGTTGATTGGAAGAGGAATTAAAGCGACTGTGCTAACGAAGAGCTGAGGAATGATCTGAAGAGTGGCCTTTATGGGCTTCTCCAAAAGAGGACAGCTGGTACATCCTGGAGTTTGGGGGGGCTCTGTTTGCAAGATGCAGTGACAGACCATACTCTGAAGTGCAAGTATTAAGGTGATGCGCTGACTCAGAGCTACATTTTGTAATCTGTGAGTCTGCATATACAAAGCAAAGAAGCAGAAAGTCTTCTGTATATTTCAAAATGAATATTGACGAGGGTGTAATAAGATAGTGTCAGTAGTTTGGCAACTTTCTCCACAGCAGAATGGCAGCAAAGACTTTTTTCTTGCCAAATCTGTGTTGTGGTCCACCAATATGGAGAAGCAAGTGTACTTCTACTATGAATTGAATGGAGAGCTGTTTTAGACGACACACTTTTCTCAGGATAGAAATAACGTCCTGCTCAGGGAGGTAGAAATTAGTGTTTTCAACAAACTATGGGGGGAAAAATGAAGATTTCACATGATACATAAGACTCTCTCTGGATGCTGGCACAGTCTATGCTATTACCATAAGTTTTAACAGAATGACTTCCAGATCCGCTGTAAAGATGCTTAAAGCCAGCTGTAGTCTGACAACTGTTCACATACACATGCACAAACAGGAAATTACCACGTATTGCAGATCAATTTCTGGCAGTAGTTAACCAAAATAACAGCTA